TTTCCGGGACCCGGGGAGGGGGGGGGGCGGAAAGAGGGGGGCGTTTGTCCGTCAGGCTTGACGGGCAGTGGCTGCTACCAGAGAGCAGTCCTCATGCAAATCGCCTCCTGCCTGCGGGGCACGGGGCGCTGAGGCGGGAGCCTTCAATTGTCCCGGCTCTGCCCGGGCGGCGGAGACAGCGGCAACTTTCCCGGGAGAGGCAGCGGCGGGGGAACGGGCGAAGAAACTCGGCGGCAGTCAGGCAGCCGGCACCGCTCCTCTGCCGCCCCGCACCGGGACACCGTCCCGGCCCCGCCGCCGCCGCGGGAGGAGCGAGCGCTCGCTCCCGGGCCCGGGAGATCCCACCGAGGCCGGGCGGCGAGGGCAGAGCTCTCCGCAGCCGGTTCCGCCACCACCGGGCGGTGGGACCCCGGCTCCACCTCACGCGTGTGGCCGGGGTGGGAGCGCTGCGGCATAACGGCGGCGGGACGGGACGGGGGGGGGTGTCGGAGCCGCCCCGGTGCGCTCCGGGGGTCGGGCTGGGCTTCCCCACCGAGGGACAGGTGCTTTGTCCAACCGCCGGCCCCAGCTGGTGGGTGCCGGGGGACACTGGCCATGTGGCCACCGCTGTTTGCCCGCCTGGTTGATCTCTTTATGGCTTTGAGATGAGAGGGGAAGATAAGCCAACAAAGTACCTAGGTTTTAGTCAGTTTTCCCCTTCTAAGTAGTGAGAATAGAGAAATTTTGTTTCTTGCACAAAAGGAACCAGCATCTGATGCTTCTGTTCCCCACACCCAGTCAGTGTTCTGACAAAGCTCAACCACTGCTAATCCTCATGTTTGTAGCCTGTGTCTTTAGGACAGCATTTCCTCTTGAACATTCTGTTTTAATGACCTACATCGTCTAGTTTACCTATACAGTTGTTAATGGCCCATTAGGAGCAGCCCATGCTTTCTATACCTCATTGTATTGCTTGGCGTGGCAGGCACAGCACTGGGGTCCCAGTGTTGTCAAACAACTTTGCAAAGGGCTTGAAAAAACAACCCCAACAACAGAAACAAAAAAAAATCCGTCTGATTTCACTGATGCCAAGTAAGGACACTTGATACTGAAACGTCTTTATTACTGTGCTTCCAGAAATTTCAGATCTGACACATGAGTGTACTACAACATTAAGTGTTCTTGCAGCTTCGCTAGCAGGAATTAAATGATTTATGTTCAGGTAAACTCTTAAGCATTTCTTTAACTCTTACCTCTGTGGTCCAGCTCTTAACAGAAATAGTTTTCAGCTTGACCTTTCAAAACTTCCAGTGATTATTTGTTTGCCGAAGTCTTCACATAAGCAGCAGAAATCCTAATACAGCAATACCCTAAAATCTTCCATCATATTATGTTAGAAAATAATGTTCGTAAATGTTGTGAATTTCCAAAACCACTTTTTTTTTTTTTTTTTTTTTAAGTAGAGAACATGATGGAAACTGTGAACTGCATTAAACATTTGTTGTTCAGATACTTTAAAGAATCTGAGTAAATCATAGGTGTTTTCCATTTAGCTGAAGTGATTGTGGTATGACAAAATGATATTTCAATTTCTTTCCTTGAGGTGTGGGCTCATGTTTAAGTACCAATGTAATAGTGATAGGGTTTTCAAGAAGATGTTCTATGGCAATAGATGAACACTGTAAGAGTCCACCAAATGAAATTTCTGCTACCGCTTTGTTGCAGAATTAGGCTCAAACGGGGGCTTGAATGGATACTCGTCTTTCAAATTAAAGTTAGTATTTGACCTCTACCCATTTTCACCATTTTCTTAAATCGCAATCCAGTTCCCCAATCAGAATCAGCAATGTCTTTTCCTTCATATAGTTTGACCGTTCTTTTCTGTTTCTATTTTGTTGCCTGCCTCCCACACAGCATTTTTAACCAGGTAATTTGACAGATACAACCTTTAAACCTACTGCTATTTAAATGTAAAAGAATGGAGTTGAGTAACCTGTTTCCAACGTTTAGACAATATACAAACTGCAACTTAAAAATTAATATATTTTATGTGGTATAAAACAGTGATAAATAAGTGATAAACAGCAATGCAAAATGAAGCAGTGCTAGGGTCTGTATGACAAGTAAGTGTTTATTCTTACATACTGTTTAGGGTAAATTACATAAGAGCATGATTGTTATGCTGACTCTTGCTTTCGTAAATATTTAAGCAGCAATGTAACTTAAGTTACATATTTTGTCTATTCTGAGGCATTAAGGCCATATTCTACTCTGTCAGCTCAAAAGAGGACATATAAAGATACATTGTTTCTTTGACTATTCAGAGATATATGTTTGATCACTTAAAGGATTATTCCACGTAGTCATTTCAGTGTTTTTCAGTTTATTTAAACTTGTTTACCTAAGGGTTAAAAAGTTGTTTATGAAATTCCAAAAAGAAACGTACATTTGCCTGCTGTTTTAAAATTTAATTAATGGTCTAAATTAATGAACGACTCTCCTTAATTTGCAGTAAGCTTTCATTTAGTACAGTTTAGTACTGCATGAAAATTACCCATTTTCTTCAGCAGAATGGAGTAGCATGTAGTATATCCCAGATGGAACAAAAAGCTCTGTCAGGCCATGCCTGGCAGCTGAGGCTGGGCACAGCCCGAGCTGCAGGAGATCCTTGATGCTGTGCAATCCTTGAGCCGATCTCTGCTGCTCCTCACCGGAGCAGTTCCCAGTACACAGTACCAGCAAGGCTCTTGTGGGACAGGGGCTTGAGCTGTGTGGACACAAGCCAAGAGGTGTAGCTTTCCCTCAGGGCTTGAGAATAGTCCCAGCATTTTCTGTTAACCTGCAGAAAGAGTTGTGCAAAGTAGATTTTTCATATCTTACAAATTACCTCTCCCCCCTCTCAACTGCATAATTTTTTAAACTAGCTATAATGATCTCCACAGCGAGGTTGCAGTGTCTGTGCCACACATTGGCTCCTTAGGTTCACCTGTTGGCTATTGCCTGTAGCAACCAGGCAGGGCTCACAGAGTGCTTTGCCATCTTGGCCAGGGGGATGGTAACCCCCCCACACGCCGGGGGGCAACTACAGTGTCTGAGCATGGGGGCAGGGGAAAGAACATCTCCAGTTTTTGTAATGAGGGAATGGTGGCTCTCTGTCCAAAAGCTGAGGGTGTAGACAGACAATTAGAAACAAGGAAGTAAGAATAGTTTAAAATGTAGTACTCTTCAACCAAAATAATAATTGGATGTGAGCAGTGGTGGTGTAGGCCCATTTCAGAAGACATATGCTCTTAGTTAATTACAGTATCTCAAGAAGAAGAAAATAACCTCTGCAGAGGCTCCCTTCTTAATCATCTCGAACTTTGTCACTTCCAATTGCCTATACTTTACTAAGATTCTGCGAAGATTTACATAAACCCTCTATCTGAATGGTTATCACAGTTCAAAACTTAAATTTTTGAAATGCCTGTACTTAGGCAAAGAAACTAGGAAAATTGCAGCTCAGATTTCCATGATTTTCAAGTGTTAGCAACTATCTTCCACGTAGATAACATGCATACTTTTAAAAACAATGTCCTTCTTCAGAGAACACAGTGATTTTTAAAACAACCTTTCAATTCCCTCATTGAGAAGAGGAAATAGTAAAATATTGAAATATTCTCTTGGCAGCAGAATTAACCTCTTGACCAGTAAGTATGGGGTTTGTATCTTTTCTTTTTTGTGTGTGTGAAAAAGGCTGTACACTTCAGAATTCTCACATAAATTTGGTTATGGCTGTTTTATGCAAAGATACTGATATGATGAAAATATCTCAAAGTTTAGGCAGCAATTGAATTTGGAAGAAAATATGCTTGACTTCTGGGATATACACAATCAAGTTCTGACCATTTAAAACATCCAATAAGAGTATGTAATGTTAAAAATATAATTGCATAGGTTCTGTTGGGCTCTTAGGTTTCAATTTCCTTTGTAAGAACTTGGATTCTTCCATGATCTTAGTCATGGGCAAAGGTTCACTAGCTCTGAATGAAAGAGAAGGAAAAGGCGGTATTTTCGCAAGTATTCTCCACTCACAGTGTTAGAAAGAATATACAGCATAGATTTTTTTGTAACTTTATTCCTTGTCTTTCTTTGGTCAATAGTGAAATAGTGAATTAGTCTGACTTTGAAATTATTAAGGCTCAGAATTGATGTCCCTGTAACATGACTATGGGACAACTTGCACCTTTCCCAGCTGTTTGAAAAATCTACAGTTTATTCTAATTTCATAATTGGGAGATTTTCTGTGTGGTCATGCCAGAAAACAGACTTCAATATATCACTGCACAACTGTAAGACGATTGAATTTAGAAGTAAAGCTTCCTCTGACTTTTGAAATAAAGAAGGAAAAGTTCTACCGATGTGTTTCTAGATGAGACAAAGGAAAAATACTGCAAGGCGGATTCCTCACATGCGCAGGAACCAACAGAAGACCTGAGAATATCCATAGAGAATGGGTGAGACCAGTGGTTATGTATTGCCCTTTCAACCAGTCCTGTAAACAAGTTAGAACTGAATTACTACTACATTTTTTGTGAATGTTTTACTCCCTAGGAGTGATCACGACCCTACAGTGAAGTTCCTGGCCGCAGGATTTCAATGGATGCAGCAATGTAGGAAGCCAGACACACAGAGTGCTGGAATCGGTGCTGAGTCAGACTTCACGTTGATAGTCCAGACCTTTGCATCCATTCTGGGAAAT